CTTAAAAAAATATTTTTAATTTTTTTAAATAATTTAAAAACTATAGTAAGTGAAATAATTTGAAATTGGGTTCATGTATTTATGTAAACATTATCAAAAATCTGAGGCCTTTTTCTAAAATTTAGATGCTTAAATGGCGGATATACCGGATATATACAAATTGTTTATCGAAAAAAGAAGATTTTTCGAGTAAAACATAAAAACGAATTGAAAACACCGGACCTTAACTCACTAGACTTCTTTTTGTGGGGTGCTGTTAAACGGCTGATATATAGTGAACAAATTAATACACCTGAGCAGTTAGAAGAAAGAATAAATCATGCTTTTCATCAGATTCAAGCAACAATAAATTTAGAACAAATTACATTTTCGGTACTATATAGATGTAGCACCTGTGGAGATATTTTTGAGCATTTAGTCAAATAAAATCATTAAAATGATAATGTTATTATTTTCTTGATTCGATTAAATAACCGAATGGTTAGTTAGTGTTTGTCATATTATTTAAGTAAAAGTGTTTTCAGTTTGCTTTTTAAGTTTTACTCGAAAATCAGGCTTTTTTCATAAAACATGAGAGAGTAGTAATTAGTAGAAAATTAAAAGTTGAATCCGAAAATATAATGATTGTTACCGTAAAGCAGTGGCGTACTATTTTGTTTAGAAAAATATGCCACCGATACCCTGTATCTCCTCTACTGGAACATGTAAATTTTAGGAAAAGGCCTCAGATTTTCGATAATGTTTGCATAAATACATGTGCCCAATTTCAAATTATTTCACTTACTAGTTTTTAAATTATTAATTTTTTTTTAAGTTTAACATCCTTTATCGCTTTAACGAACCGTCCTAGATAAAAACTTTATTGGAAAGACCCCTTAAAATATGAGATTTCATTTTTGGTCACCGTTTGTGAATCAGCCTTTTTAATTTCTATATTAAATAATAAAAAATATTAAGAGCGCTATTCCCACAAAAGAGCATTTTCCATAAAAACAATTATTTTTAAACATATAATACTGTCCGTACGATATTTGTTGAGATAGAATCCCAAGAAGACCCCTGCGTCACTTTCTTGAAATTAAGCGCATTCGACACCCGTGCTTTCGATTGAAATGATATGGGCTCAAGTTAAAAACAACGTAGCAAAGAAAAGTGTTTTATTTAAATTATATCTCAACAAATATTGTACGCAACAAATATTGTACGGACTGTAGCTGAACCGAAAGGCAACGACGGACAAAAAGCAACAAGAAAGGACTGACAGACATTTTTAAATTTATCTTTCTTCTTTACTAGCTAGCAGTTTATTTTATTGCTATAAAATACATATAAATGCAGTATCTAAGTTCAACATTCTAAATTTAATAACACATCATTGTTATTTATAATTTCAAGGATGTTTAAAATTTCTAGCCTCGAAATTACATCGATTTTCCGCATTTTGCGCGGTTGATGTGCTCATTTTTTAAGGGGAAAAATTATTTTCTTTTAATTTACATACCTATATACATATCATTTTTGGGCAGAAACTCCGATTTTTTGTAAAAATGTCACAGAAACAGGTCAATTTTTATTTTGAATTAACGTTTTTGACGGTAAATGTAAATAATTAGCCTTTCCCATAATTGCAAATTGAATGATTTGCTAAAAGACACCTATTAGAAGTAATTTTTGGTAGGTTCTATGTAGAATCAGGTTCTCTTTTTCTAAATGTGTGTATTAGCATACATACTTGATTGATCTTGTGAAAGTGCCTTTAAAAAATATGTAGATAGTCATACAGAAAAAATAAAAACAAAAAAGTTCAAATTAACATTTGTATTGTTCTAAACGATCCGAATTGTATTTTTTCTATTAGTTTCTTAAAAATGTTTCATTTAATAATGACTACGAACATACGTACCTACCTATGTCGCAACAGTTTTTGAAAACATGTATTATTGAATGAAACTAAGGGCAGATCATTTTGACACTAAGATTCTTGCAGAAAGTAAAAATACTTCAATGAGACATTATATGAGACATTATAAAAGGAACAGGTACCTTTAAATCGAAGAACATTGTATAAATTTTGCTCCCTACAATTCGAGCACCCTGTATTGCTTTCTGATTTCCTAGACATTAAAAATAAATGTTTCAAAACGTGTTAATTTTAAATTAATACATATAGAAAATACATTTCACGTAAGAATTCTTCCGAAGCGTATGTCAATTAAGGTTTCAATTACTTAGATTGTACCTGGTATAAAATATCTTTAAATAAAATTAGAGAACGGTTTTGTTAATTAGGAATTACAGCAGCTACTCTATGAGTCTTTATATCAAAGCAGTTTAAAATTTAAACAAGCCAGTAAAGAAACCACCCTTTCTTAAGCTCGCCAGAGCCCGTCTGCGAAACGCGTTTGAACTAAATTTCATCCAGTCACCTCCTGAAACAGCTGAAAAGCGACAGTGGGGTGGGGATGAGGGGGTGGCTTGGTGTGTGGCATGTTAGGGGAGGGCCTAACCACGGTTAGGCCTCAAAAACCACGCAGGGGATTGGCTATATACTGTCTTTGTCTTTATGTTCCAACACATTTTTATCTCCGTCTTCCTCTCTCACGTTTATTTTTATCCGTTCTCTCTTTTACAGTCCGTCTTCTTTTCAAGCGTTACCGAAGAGCAGAGTTCATCCCTCTCTAATTAGGTCTGATGTCAGACTGGGCCGTATTTTAGTTTTTATGGAAAAATGTAACGCATTTTTAAATAAAAAATAACTACAAAAATTCTGTGGATAAAATGTCAGTAGCAAAAATTTAAATTTTCTAATATTAATTATACCTACATGTGATGAACGTCATCAAATATGTTTATGGATAATGAATAAAAATAAACCAAGCCTGAATAAGGAACAATATCTAATAAACAGTTACTTATAAGGATGGCTTTCTGGGTTTTTCAATTCTTTGAATTACACGTGCGGTATAAATATATTTTAATTATTATCATTGAATAAAATTAAATTAAAAATAAAAATTAAATAAAATTTCAACATACTTATTTTTGCGTTTAAATCCACACAGTACAATAGTGAAAAAATGCAGAAGCACTTTTCCAAAAAAATTTACTTTGCAACATTAAAAAATATGTAAAAATAAAATGTAGGCTAAAGCATTTTTATCTTTGTAGGTAATTTGAAAAACTTTGTAAACTATTTTGCAAATTGGAAACGTTAATATACTCATAGGTATATTGTGAAGAGTTTTTAGTTAATTTATCTAAGATTAAAAAATCAACCTTCGACTAATCTTTGTGTGGGTTTATTTACTAGATGAACTATTTAAGAAATGCCACAAATAAATTCTTAGTAGAAAATATAAAAACAATATTATTTTTTGCGACAATTATTAAATTTCGAAGTACTTACTTTGAGACCATTTTGTTGTCTAGGAAACAAATATAAGTTTGAAGAGTAAATGCTCAACGTTTTAAATCGGCAATTTTCAAAACACCTTATATTTTTTCACATCCTTATGTATATTATAAATTTAAAATTCACGTATGTTCAAATTTGAATTTCAGTATTTTTTCAATATGTATAAGTTTTCGATTTTAAAACATATTATTATATTAAAGTTGTAAACAATACAGGGTCCCTACATATACTTTTCGAAGAAAGCACACGTTCTAATTTGTCTTTAATATAGTGAATTAATTTTCTCTCATTCCGAATTCTGAAGTATTTCATTCATTCATTAATTTGGTTAAAATGAAGCAGAATTCTCTGAATTAGATAAATAAGTACTATTACACCTACTACTGCGAAACTGGAATTTACTAGGCATATTATACAATAATTCAAATAATTTAATCCGTCTTACAATCGTAAATATTGTGAACCGCAATCAAAATTCCTCTGCGACTAATCCTCAATGAGGCTTAACCTTTTGGTCAGCTAATCCCATTAAAAGTGGCCAAATCAAAGTGCCGACTACTTTATTTCACGAGTAATCTTTGGATAAATAAGACTCCATTTTTATTTCGGCGGAGTTTGAGGAAACGATTAACCCTTGACGGAACTGACCAGACCGGGATAACCTTTGGACAATAAAATAAATCCGTTTGTATTTACATCGCTCAAACAATTTGTTGTGAATATGTTTGTAGAAATTAGAAGAAACAAATATTGCATTTTAAGGTCAGCTTTTTGCTCTTCATATCCAATTTTTTACTAAACGAATTCAGCCTTTTAAAAAATTTGATATATAACTCACATAAAATGTGGATTGTAAATATGGACGAAACCTTACAGAATAAATAAAATTTAAAAGTGAAATTCTTTCTCTGAAAATTAGTAGAGTAGCCCGTTATAAGCGTGCAAAGAGGCCAACTTTCCATTTTACCGTTTGGGCATATTTATGCCACCAAAATAAAGCACAATACCATATTTCATGGTAAAATTACCCAAAAGGCATAAAATTTAAACCATATAATGTCCTAGACAAACTGGCAATAAATAGATTTACAATCCGCCTCTGGCCTCCATGCACCGAATATGACGTCTCACTCTGGCGCACATCAAAGCAAACATCATCTTTGTTAAATATAAAACCTGTATGTCTCACTTTCATTCACTAGAGGCAAATATTTTTTTCTCGCTCCCCGGCTAGTCAACAAGATTCCCCTGTCTTTTTCGCGCCCGCTGGAAATCCAGTCACCCCTCTTCGTCCGCAGAGGCATTATAAAAGTTCGCCCAAACGCATAGACGGCGTCCGTCCCTCTCTGCCTGCTTGCCGGCAAGCGCGGTCTCTTTCCTCTTCGGTCTATCTATTTAAAAACTACCCTCCTTTAAAGTAGTAGGAGGGGGTGATACCGAAAACGTTAATATTCTGTTCTGAAAAAGTTTGAATCAGTCTCTCTCTCGAGTTCGAAAGTGACACACCTGAAAAAATAGTTGGATAATAAGACGTGTTCATAGACTAAGTACGTTAGTGTTAGTGTTTCGTTTAATTAAGGTCTAAATGCATCTACCAAACAACCACAACTTGGCAAATATGACGGATGTGTACAATTCCTTGCAGGAAACCCTCCAGGAATATCACGGAGAACTAGTTCAAACCGGAAGTCCCGCTATTTTGTGCAGTGTTCTGCCGACACATTGGAGATCGAACAAGAGTTTGCCAATAGCTTTTAAAGTCGTCGCCTTGGATGATGTACCAGATGGAACAGTTGTTTCTTTGAAAGCAGGGAACGACGAAAATTATTGTGCGGAATTGAGGAACTGCACCGCCGTCATGAAAAATCAAGTCGCGAAATTCAATGATCTTCGATTCGTGGGGCGGTCGGGAAGAGGGAAAAGTTTCACCCTCACCATCACCATCAGCAGTGCGCCCTGGTATCAAATGGCCACTTATTCAAAAGCAATCAAAGTCACCGTAGATGGACCGAGAGAACCGCGCACAAAGTCAAGTAAGTAAAAAAAAATTTCCAAATAAAAAGATTTGTGACTTTGTAAACCAGCCAGCAAGCCAATAATGGCCTTTTAACGTATCTTAATGTTTTATAAACAACCAAAATAATACATAAACATATGCTCATGGGATAAACATATAAAATTTTTTATGTGTCTTAAGGTTTGTCGGCATATCAAATCCAGTCAACAAAACGCCCGTTTTATGTTTATCACGATTAAATTCAAACATTTGATTCAGTTTTATTGAGCATGTGTCTCGCATTTGGTAATTTACAAACAAAATAAAAGTTCTGTTTTATTTATGAAACTACATTCGTAAACAGGAATTACGTTACAATTGCAATCGTCTAGTTTATTACTCTAACTTATAACAAATTCTTATTTCAGGTTATCAATACGGATATGGACTGTCTGGGCTACCCGGAGGCTTTAACCCATTTTTACTGAATCCAGGGTGGCTAGATGCAGCGTACATGTCTTATGCTTTCCCGGATTATCTTAGGCACAGAACGAACCCTATATCACCTCAAGCCAATATCCACCCATCCCTAATTAAAGGTATATTTCACACAAGTCATAATTATTAGAAGAAAAAAGTACATATTATCTCCATCTTCTTCACAAGAAAGTCTGAAATTATTTTGTCTCTTCTGAAGAAGATAGCGGTGTGTCTTTCTAAAAGTCAGGAAGATCGAAATATAGTTCGTATCGTATTCGTATCGATTTATAGTTTTAATATGAGGATTTTTATATTAGGATTGCCAAAATTTGGTAATTAAACTTTTAACATAAAAAAGACGATTGCTAATACAAACTTTACTTATTTTCAGGTCCTCATTTGCCACCAAACGTCCAACCCGCCCACGACTTCTACATCCAATCTCCATCAGCACCAGCAGGTCCATTCCACCCAGCGTCGAACTTCTTACCAAATTCCATGGCTCCTTTTCCGCAGGACTTGGGGAAGGTGACCAACTATGAAGTTAACTTAAGACCTATGTTGCCAAATCCCATGGAACAGCTTAGTTTAAGAATGTCTCCTGTTTCCAACAGTCAAAGCATAAGTCCACAACTCTCCACCAGCGCTCAAGAAACGAGGATACATTCTACAGTTGATCAAAGTTCGGCTTCGGAACAGTCTGACGACGAAGATATAGACGTGGTGAAATCAGCTTTCGTGCCCATAAAACCGGCTAGTGTTCTTTTACAAGAAATTCAACATCCTGACTCCACGGTTCAAGATAAAGACCCAGTTTCGACGAAATGTGACCTGAAAGCACCTAGTTCAAGAAGTCTTAAAAATCTAACAGTGACACCTCCAAAATCGCCAAATACCAAAATCCACTCCCCGCCATCGATAAACACGGCAAAGACGGTTTGGAGGCCTTATTAGTTTTGTTTTCTAGTTTATTCCTTACCTCGTTTTGTTTGTTGCAATATTGTAAAGTATTATAGTTATAAATTTTTATTTATTTGTAAATATGTATATATGTATATTGTATATATGATAATTTAAATGTGTTAGTGAATTGAAAGATTTTAAATGAATATAACGATGTACTGCAATTGTGATAGCAGATGGAACTAATAGATATTTAGGTATTTTTGTACAATCATTAATTAAATGATTTCACCGATATTAGAATAAAAGACCTTTTATTAATATAACCTTTTGACTTTTATTCTGTTTAACGTATAGATACATATGCTGTAAGGTACACCTTTTTATTAATTAACTGTGTACAAAAAAAATTACTAGCATAACATTTTAAAATATTTTTCTGCTTATGGAACAGCCTAAAATCAATATTATTTAAGACATTGTAATTATTTATTTGTGATATTTTCAGTTATTCATTTTATTTAATTGGGTATTTCTGTCACCTAGAAAAGAAAAAAATAAGAAATAGCTTTGCACCAAAAGAATCCGTCAGTGAAGATTTTATGAAGCTTTCATTCTCAAATTGACTCGAAAGTCAAGTGTGACAGTTTCATTTTTTTTTGTTCAGTTATCTTCCACAGAGAAATAAGATATCAATATAATATTTATTCTACTATTACTTCCTCACTGTTTTTTTTTCACACCAACAATTGGTTTACCTAAGTGTATAGTCTTTCCGAACTCAGTTGAACATGTATAAAAACGTCTAGCAATAAAATTTAATAAGTTTCATAGGCGTCCCTAAAAAAGTTTTCTGCTAAAGGTAAAAAATTACAATAATAATTTGTATATAATGTGTAAAAAATTTCTATTATATGTTCATTTGACCAACAATATTTATACCCTCAAACAATTTTATTATATTGATGGTAAATTTCGTTTTTTCCGTTTCAAAGGTCTCTAACATGCCATGTTGTGATAATATTAGTAAACAAAATATCCCCCTTATTTCTCTCTTTCGCAATTATACTATGAATGACTAATAGAAGATGCCTATAATAAATTAAAATTACCTGAATCACACCAAATTTCGCATTGCTGCACTGCACTGCTAGGCCATTTGTTGACAACCGAATTAATGGCCAGGTGGCCCAGTGCGGCTGTGTTTGTGCCGCGTTTGCATGCGCGCTCATTCTTCAACTGAGCGACTAGACCTGTATATGGGTATGGCTAAATAAAAATGGGAACAAGTTTTTCAAATACTTCAATGCCGAGTTGCTGCGTCAGCCACCGAACCTGATACATACTGCCAACCTCTTGATTCTTCAATTGAGATCGGAAAGACTATACCACAGAACGAAAATAAATTTTTGTTTAGCCAGTTATTTATATAAAATCAAATTTTAAAATAAAATGAATAATATCTACACGTCACTTACGTTTTCGAAACTTGTAAGTTGAATCAGTTGGTCATGTCCCCAATATTTCATTTTGACTGGTATAAATTTCCACTAATCTGTTTTGCTTGTGGTTTTACAAAATCCCTTATCATTACTTGGTATTAAAACTTTTTACCATGTCATCAATTATTATATTTTCCTGCAAAGGTGAAGAATGAGTTTATAATAAGAAATAAAATTTTACTTTCAATAGGGAAACCTACACAAGTTTTATTTTAAGTTATGGAAAGAAAATACGACGGACTATAAAAAGAAATAGTTACTGTAAAATTACAAAATTACATGGAAATTGCAAAACTTTCCTTAATACTTTCATTAATAAGTATATAAGTTTGAGCAGTAGGTACCTTAAACTTTTCGCCATACAGATTTTGAGAAAATGCAACTGTTTTTTGAAACGTGACTATTTTTTATTATACTATTATACCTATTCATAATTCCTAAATAAAAAATGTCATTTTAATGTTCTATTGCTGTAACCAGTTACGGGTTTGCTTTAGTTTAATAAAACTTAACTTTGTTTGTCAAATTTGTAAATAAATTAGTATTTAGAAAGGTAAATATACCCGTTGTATATTTTAAGAGTAAATAAATAAATAAATAAATAAATAAATAAATAAATAAATAAATAAATAAATAAATAAATAAATAAATAACATACTGAATAAGGCTTTTCATTTTTTAACATTAAGGTAGAGATAATCGAGTTAAACATGGCTTAATAAAATTGCTTCATTTCAATCTACATTGTGTTAGCAATTGTTAGGTACACCGATTTCTGAAGACATATGTTTTAGCTATTTCATTTTTAACATGAAAATATCAAAAATAGTATTAATTGTTTTCTTTTAATAGACAAAAAAATTTTTGAGTAAAAATGATGTTCTAATTGCAACTAAAGCATACCAACAGTTGTCGAGACAAAAACGACGCATTTCACTGTTATTCCTAATTAGAAACATTAACTTATTGGATAAGATTCGGAATATACAAATTAACTTACAACCATGGAGAACTTTGATATTAAGTTGAAAGGTAAGATTTTAATAATAGTTATTTTATTGTTGAACTATACTTTTGCATATTTTTTACTGTTTAAATCGATGTTCTGAAATAAATTAAGACAAAATGTAAATAAATGCTTTTTAAACAACGATAATTAAATAAATTTGCGCGAGGAAACTGCGCAGTGTCCCTATTTAATATACAATGACATGAACTATCGGTTATATCAACAAGAAGAAATCTCTCTTTACTTTGAATTAGAGAAATTTTCAATATTTTTTAAACAAATAATTATCGATGTCTGAAAGATGGATTTCCTCCACCTACTATAGAACAATCTTTCTCGCCCTAAAATTCGCAGCTGCTGGAAATTTTGAATAACTTTATTGGTGAAATGGCTCTCGAAATCTCAACAAAATTCTTAAATATATTTTTTTAATTTTGACGCCCTGTAGTTTGAAAGTTTGAAATAGAGTAATATTCGATTAAGGTATTAGTTGGAGCAACATTTATGTCACATTCGTAACTAAGCACCCTACATTAAAAATGTGATATACATATTTTATTTTTATAAATGGCACTTTTTACCTAGACTATCAAATAGTAGGTACATTAGATTTGAACAACACAATTCCTTTTTTTTTCAATTTTATTAAGGTTAAATAATGTTTTAGAACGTATGTACTTATGTGTGATTAATTTTTAAAATTGACATGAGTACGAACATTAACTGTAATTCGATATTTGGGAATAGTTTAAAAATATACTTAGTCATATTATTGTTCGGAAAAAGTATTTCGTCGTTGCTCAAAAGCACAAGTGTTACTTAAAGTATCGGGGATCTCATATATTAGCAACTCAAATAGAGTAATAAATCAATACTTAGTGTAAAATCTGAGACCTCACCCCATCTATATATACAGTAAGCCTCGCGTTCATATTCCAACAATAGAAGTGCAGATCCGAAAGGGCCTTGCACTGTGTAACAGCTGTGCTGCGCTGGCTGATGGGTGGATTTTGATTCCATTGGCGTCGACGGAGTATCAAAATTTCGTGTCTAATAGTGAGAAAGAAGTTGGTTTGACTTGTTTCGATTTTATAGGATCCTATTGCTTATTCAAAAACATTATTTAAATATTTTGATTAAACATAATATAATAATATTTTAAACACAACGATTTATGTAAAAATAAGCGGGCATTGTTAAATATTTTTTATAAATAGGGGTTTGGTTTTCTAATCTTAGAAAATAAATAATATACTTCGTTTCTGTTATTTAAAATATCATTTGTCTATACCTATAGGTTTAGAAAACGCACTAATTCAGTCAAAAATATAAATTTTCTGACACTTACTTCAGCTTCCGCATAGCTTTATAATCCCAATCCTACCAAAAAATTCATATGTATATATACACAATATAAATATTATTTTTATAAATATAATCCCATTTATTTTTTCCACCGTTCGCCCACTTAACAAGACGTTCGTGTGCGAAGCGGTTAAAATATAGATACCATAATATGGGACGTTTCACAGCCAAGGCAATATAATAAAGATGATTTATATACAGTTTTCCTAATTCTGTGAGGATGACATTTATATATTTGATGGCAGTTTAGATTTATTCCTGTTTTCAGCATTTACAGATTTGATAGGATAATTATTTCTCAACACATTAAATGAATACACCAATAAATCATCCAAATATTTTTATTTGAATTATGTCAAAGCATAAATAGAAAATCAGTGGCATTTGAAACAACACCAATTTTGGTATATACTTGATGGTGATAAGTAAAATGAAAGCACCGAACAAACTAACAATGAGCTCATTCAGCAAATTTGTTTTATTTGCTTAGCGGAAATATATTGCAATTTTAAGGTTCTCTGCAAAAAATTTGAATTTTATATCGGCTACAAGTCATTCAAGAAAATTCATAAACTGGCGCGCTGAGTATCCGCTGAACCGGCGAGTGTGACGTCACCGCATGGGAAACCGATGCCGTAAGCTTACGACTGTGTTGTCAGTCAGTCGGGTAGTCGGGTTTTAGTTGCCTGTTAAGTTTCGATTAACTACGTTAAGATACCGAATTTTGCAATATGGAAGACACAGAACAAAAAAAAATTACAAATATTGTCTTTTTCCCCAGTGTGAGAACACTAGTGTGAAAACGCCTAAGAAAATAATAATGTCCCCGTAATTCTGTCGTGCAGATCGAAAATAAATAGTATTAATCTCTACTTTGACTTGTTTTTTTTTAAATATCTTTTATATGAAAAATGACTTATTTTGGAAGCAACAAAACTACCCTGCATAATTTAGGTATGTAATAAATACGTTTGTATCCAAAAACTCTATACACTTGTGTTTTCCATTGATGATATTTTTGATTTGTTGTGAATATTATACAAATATCTAAAGGTACTAAGTATTTAATTACTTATATAAAAATATTGTTACTATATTTATAAGATATTAGGTAAATTTTATGTAGTTTCAATGGGAATAAAAATAGTAATAAGAATTTTGTATTTGATTACATA